ACATAAGCAAGTCCTCTGTAAGGTTTGTCCTATTGCCCCATACACTTAGGACGCGTCCGGGCAAAGAAAGCTGTAGTTTTTCGGCTATATACAAGACTTTTGTAGTAAAACCGTTCCCAAGCATTAGTTTGAATTTAAAAAATAAAAATTTATAAAAGATTTTACCTGTTTTGTTGTTTTTAGAATATAATAATTAACGGAAATAAACAAAAATATGAAATGATATAAACAATGAGCCATGAACATTACGCTGTAGTTTCCGTCCTCTATGGATACCCATATATCTCGCTAGTTTTTGCCCCCAGCTTAACCTACATAAAAGTTATATGTATTTGTTACTCTCGAGAATAGTGCTTATGTACTGGATAAAATTCAGTCTACGTCTTATTATGCGGACGGCGCGCCGGCGTATGTAATAATATTTCATGATAATCGGTCGAGCATTTAAAGCGTGGACGTGTAACAAACAACAGACTCATTGATTCATTTTAGATTAGGATTTTTTTAAGTATTTTAGAAGATTCCTATACTGCAACACCCATAAGATCTACGAATACATTACGCGCATTATTTGACGACCGAATGGCGTAGTGGTTTGTGTAACGGACTGCTATTCCAAAGGTCGCGGGTTCGATTCCCGCTCAAGTCAAACATTTGTGTGCACATTTAATGTTTGATTTGGTCTGGGTGTTTCTATGTATAATAAGTATGTATTTATAAAAAAAGAAGTATATACGTATTTATATCAGTTGTCTAGTACCCATAGTACAAGCTCTGCTTAGTTTGGGACTAGATGGCGTTGTGTGAATGTTGTATTATTATACTTATTATACTTATACTTATTAAAAATAAATTTTACATGATCGCACCCCGATCATTTTTCTCCAATCAAAGAGATTCGATTGAATATGTAGGTTAAGGTGTGAGAATTTACGCTTTTAAGTAAAATAGTCGGCTACGATCCGAAAAGATTTAATGTGTGAGCTCACTGAGTGTCCGTAGTAATATAAAAAAATTGCATTAGTCCATATGATAACGTGGCGCACTGACACAGTGACGGATGACGAAGCCTCCAAAGCCCAGCTGATATAATCTAGCTACGAAACAAGCCAACGATAACACAATTTTTTTATCACAAACCAATTTGTGCGTAATAACAGAAAAGTTATTTGCCTACCGACAGACACGTGTCATGATTACGTTGAGAGTTGCACACCGTAATTTGTGTGTACATGTAGATATTAATTAATAATCATAGATTAGCAAAATAAAACAGTAATCAATGGCAAACCGAATTAAAATGTAAAAAACCGGTCAGGAACGAGTCGAACTCGTGCGCCGAGGGTTCCGTACCTACCCAGAGTTTACGTGGATTTTCGCGAAAATTTGTAAATACCAAAATTTCTCTTAATTTTCAACTTTTTTATTTTTTGGAATTATTCCTTTATTTGTGCTGTAAGACGTTTCTTTTTGCCAAATTTCGTGATTCTAGGTCAACGGGAACTACCATATAAGTTTTCGTACTTCCGGTAGACCTAGAATTGTCAATTTTGGTTAAAACCAAGGTCTTACAGAACAAGTAAAGAGAAAATTCTGAAAAAAGAAAAAGTTGAAAACAAGGTAAATTTTGGTACTTACAAGTTTTCGCGATAACCGAAATTCCAATATCTTTTCATATTTTTTATTCGTGTTGACTCAGGACCTTGATTTTTATACACCAAATAGGGACCATAGACCTCAGTATCTGGTATAAATTTCAACTTGCTAGGTCTACCCGTTCCTGAGAAAATCGGTGGTGACAAACGGACAGACGGACAAGAAAGTGATCTTATAAGGGTTCCCTTTTTACCTTTTGAGGTACGGAACCCTAAAAAAGATTCAGAGAGAGATCACTTCCTCGCTTTATAATCAGACTATCGTTATTAAACCTAATATGTTGTACTCGTGAACACGAATCATATCAGCCCATGGGGTTTACTAGTACACTAGCCGCTAAGAAAGCTCCAATAGCAGGTCAGCTCTAAGTCGCCTATAAAGTATTATTTCGAAAAGACAGAGGTAGGTTATAAATGATTGACTTTTTAGTTACAAGTGAAGCTTAATCGTGCTTGTAACCTCTGCAGTGATATTGTTTATCATTGCTTATAACCTGTGACCTGGGTACGGTCGAGTATAGGCCAAATATTGGCTTGGTGTTAACATCTAATAACACGCGTACGAATGAATATCTATATTTTATTATAGCTTTATCTAGTCTGTACTTCAAAATTAAAGCATTCTTATTACGAGTATATGTTTAAGACATGGCATATACCTTATCATTTTAAAAACCTGTAGTAGTTTCTCATGTGTTTTTACACAAATAATATGTTGTTCCGTTGTAATGCGGCGCCACACGGAAATATTGCAATGATACGTAAATATTGCAATTCCCTGAAAGACTGCCCAAAACACTCAAATTCTAGTTGTAATTTCTAAAGAAATGTAAAATCTGTTTCGTTAGGAAATATGTAGTAATGGCTTTTAATACAATCTAGGTATGAAGAAGAACTAATTGTAAATAGTTGGTGAAACCCTGACTATTTCCATATTCTGGTTACAGTTAATATAAGAATGAGAAACATAAATTTAGAATGTTACTGATTTGATCTGCTATTTAACAGATTTGGAAGTGCAGCATTTAGGATTCTCAGGGATTTCATCAACAGGAAAAGACAGTGACACACACCATATATATTATGGCTTAGTCTGTTTTAATGTGTCTCTTAGTTTCCACACTCTGATATGTTTGTGCTAATAAAATGTGCTTCATGGGGAAGAAGCTGGTGTTAGGTATTACTCACACCATTTCACAACTATACTAATCTACACTAATCTATACAAATAAATAAAATTAAAGTGTCTATTTGTAATTTCAAAATAATAGGTTTTTTTTCATGCTCACATGGTTATTTGCACGATTCCTATGTCTAAAAACAAGTTTTTTTTTTTTTGTCTGTCTGTCTGTTTGTTCTTCTGAACGGCTGGATCGATTTTGATAACATTTTACTACCATGTAGCTGTCCATATAAAGAGTAACTTAGGCTATTTTTCTTATCAGAAAACCCTATAAAATTTTGCTTGGTTTGGAAATTGAAGCCACTAAGGCAGGGCTTTTCAAATTCCACATAAACAATGTAGCCGGGTACCAGCTAGTATTATATATAACTGAAGAGTTTATTGTTTGTTTCGTTAAACACACTAATCTCAGGAACTACCGGTTTGAATTAAAAATTTATTTTTGTAATGGATTACCCATTTATCAAAAAAGGCTATAGGTTACATAACATCAAGCTATGACAATTGGAGACGAGCATCAATGAAAAATTTTACTGAAACTGGGAAAATTTGTTACCAGCTAGTTAATGATATCACTTGTCTTAGCATCAACTAACCAAAAGTCGAATTATGTTTAGTAGATTAGATTGTAGAGATTTACTTTTGCCAGGTATAACATGTTTGACGACTATGTCACCAGTTAGTGTAGAGAAAATGGTTACAAGTAGTACTGACCTATTTGTTAATACCTTACAACCTATATGCTTACCTACTGAATTTATAGTTATTGCAGTATTATAAGTAAAGTTAATGCACCTCACCGGTGCAAACAACTTTGTAATTTATACTTTGAAATATAATCAAATTATCTTATACTCAATAGATTTACTGAATTCCATAATGTGATACTTAAATTTTATGTATTTATTTTTATATTTAGCCTATTAAAATATTTTCCATTTTAATTTATGTTGTAGATAAACTTGCTGTCCTAGGTACCTATCTGTTTTAAATGTATACATACAAAAATTGGATTCAACTATAGTCAATTTGTTTTTGTTGTAATTAAGTCACTATTGTATTATATTAAATGTCATTCACATACAGAATAACAATAATAAATTGGGTTAGTCTAATGCAAATAATTACCATTTCATACACTGTCATACAATGTGAACACAACACTAAATAACATTTGTTCTAAGTTTGGTATTATAAGTTCAGTATTGATTTACTTTGATATTTCTTTGGTTATATGTTAAACTAATTACTGTAATACTCTTTAACTATTATTTTTGTAAATATGCAAACAGTTGCAAAGGTGATAAGGTCTTGGTATGCCATAGTAATCAAAATGTTTTATTGCTAAATTTTATTGAACCATTTTTACTCTTGTTTGTATTTTTTTCAGAACAAAGTGCAGCAATTATTAAAACCATCAACCAGTAGAGTTAATAAAACTAATTTAAAAGATAAGAATAGAACTAATAAAATTATAATGTATTGATTATAAGTATTCTTTAAGAACTTTGTACCGTGTTCATGCAAATAAATTTATTTGATTTGATTTATAAATACAGATTACCCTGGATAGTTTTAGCAGTTTGAAGATTGGATTATTTCTGTATAAGAATGTTTTTGAGATCTGATATTGAAAAAGGATTACATATATGAACCAATCTAACTAACAAGTGAGCTTCTAATTGCATTTACATATGTCATGACAGATCTCCAGACATTATTCATTCAATTATAAACTTTAAAAACAATGTTTATTTCACACTTGATCATATTGCTCTTTATCATTTTCGAATTATTGTGGATTTTTTGTCCACTTGGAACTCATCCCTTTTGAGGATAGTCTAATTAAAAAACACAGCTTAGAATCATAAAAAAACTGTGTGCATCGCCAAGTTATATTGAACATGTTTGGAGGAGGGTAAGACGTTTGTAATAACCGTCACTGTCAAGGAGGCAAGATTTCCTCGCGCCAGTGGAAGCGGCTCCAGGGGGAAAATTTTGGCACTTGACCCCTAGGATATGCGATAAATAGGCTAACCGTCGCAAGTCCGGTTCGCACGGAGTGTCACGCTGTGCCGCACCGCGGCCCCGATCATAACCAACACGTCAAACACGTTGACACACTAGTTAGCACAAAAATAATCAATTAAAACGTCACTCACCCCAGAATTCCCGGCTTGTAATTATAATTGGGTATCCGCCACGGGCAGCCCCCGTATGCACCTATAAGAGCATCGTGGTTCTTGTTCAGGTTAAACGTCGATGCGCGGTTATCGTTCATTTTCCTTCGCGCGGGATTAAAATAATTGTTATTTCTACTTTCACCGTTCACATCGTTTATTGGTATAAAGTCTTGTGCTTTATTCACATTGGGATTAGCGTTTTCTAAGTTTTTCAAGTTCATTTTTTCTATATCACTTTGAGTTTCCCAAATACGAAGCCACAGGCGCTTCGCGGGTCCTTCCTGCTCGGGCTGATACCACGCGACGGCGGGATCCATTCAGCCGGAGCAAGGTTCCACTATATGGAATGATACATACTGTCGCATTTCACATTTATTATATTGTAAAGAAAATTAACACAAAACAAAAATAAGTCACACCACATTCGGAACATGGACGACACGCGTATAGTTGTCACTTTAACAACTAGAGGGAGCCATCTTAGCAAAATAAGTTCTAGATTCTAACTCAGCTGAGAGACTATTTAGAGTATAAGTTATGTGTACTAAATAAAACGATATATAAGGTGATCATTAAATAAATTGTATTTTTATAATAAGTAGTAAATTTAAAGGTATTAAGGTACTATTTGGTTACATTAGTGTTAAAAGTAATTTCGCTGATGACATTATAAAGGAAACGGAAAATTGGATTTTTCGGATACATGTCAAAATAATAAAACACAACTCGAACAGAAAATGTTTCAGAACAGAATACTGTTGTTTTTCCTACAATAAAATCAAAAAATCTTTTTCATTTAAATTTAATTAAAGCTTCTGAACACTTTCTGTTTTACCCGTTGCTGAGTGATCATAATAGTTTTCCGTCCGTTGTAAAACTCGTAAACCATACGATGGTTTCTAGGTTATTTTCATGATCTTACGATCCTTTTCCAAATTTTATTTGCATTTTGTTGAATTTAAAATTGTACAAGGGCGTTTATTTAGGCTAATTTCTTTAAAAGCTGACCTCCAATAATTTGAACATCTTTAATGTTTAGTCTATAAAGCAAGCAGAAACTAAAACAAATCCCAAAAAGTGACTTTTCAATTCTGTATAATAAATAGCAGACTACTAGATATTTACTTACAGGATCCAGTCGCCTCTCATTTAAGACGAAAGTCCGAGCTCAAATTCTCGACACTCCAGCAGATTCATCACATCCCTAAAGTTTTATATAGTGTATTATATGTATATATATGTATCTATGTAACTCAGCAAGTATATACGTATGTGTATCTCAGTATGTATATATATAAATCTGTCAGACTGGTTCAGTCCATATCCTTAATTATTATTATCTCGTTACATATAAAACTTAATTTCTAGTGCATCCACTCAGACATTACTAAGGACAAAAATAAACTGGGAGGAAATGCCAGTGGCTTTAAGTCCGGCAGTGTACAATGAATTGTTGTTTGTGCAAAAAGAATTAAATTAAATTTTAAACTATTATGGTCCCTATCATAAAATTATGTTTACGAGAATTAACAAGCTCACGAGAGCACTAACTCAGTTAGAAATTTTTAAATTCAGAATTAATTATTTGCCAGCCCATAACTGATAAAAAATGATTTTAGTTCATTATTACAATAGCAAGAAATTTTGATAGTAAGAAAGAAAATAAAAAAGTATTTAATAACCATTTTCATCAAAAACAGACTAATAAAGGATCTTTATGCCTAAAATGAACTATACATACAAGGGCTAAAGAAACATTATCATTCATATATCAATGTGATCATTAATGTTTTTAGATATTTTGTGTAATTAATTTCTGAAAACAATTTTCAAACACCACAGAGTATATCTTAGTGTTGCGGCGCTGCGGATTTTGGCGCCATAATATGACATTTATTATAACCATCAAATTATAACTTTAAATGTATGATCTCTACGGAACAAGTTTAATTTAAAGTGGATTTTTATCTCTAAACCACATATTTTAATATATACAAATAAACTATTGAGTACTTTATACCTTGATTTAGGCAGAATTAGTTTCTTCAGAAAGGATATACTTGAACTATTACAAGAACTTATTTAAAAAAACAGTCGGTAACTTGTTTGGTACGTAGTTTTTATCCTTATTGTTCTTTTAATTCTTATTGGTATGCAAATATTTATTGGAGTTACAGTTATTTACCAGTCTAAATAATACATAATGACAGTGCAGCCCCAGAGGCTATAGACAGTTGATATCTTCACAGTAATCTTATGTTTATGTGTCTATTTGTTTATATTTTGCTCGTCTGTAGCTTACTCACCTCGAAACATTGAATGTTATTTCATTAAAAAATGCCAATAGGGTCACCTCAAAAATAAAATTAATTATGTAAGTTTACAATTAAATTTATTAATTGTGGGTGACAGAAGTGTAATTATAACAACCTCAATTTTTTAAGGATAAAAAATTATTCACGATTCAAAATCAGCAATCATATGAGTATTGTGTCTCGAGTTGTTATACCATGTAGACTTATAAGTCAAATAAACTGGAACATATTGAGGCACATTCCTATACAAACAAGGCCTATTTATCCGATAGTGACATTCAAAAGTGTCCAAATAATGGCCCAAAGAAGCATAACATCTTTCTTTAAGCTGACACCACCTAAACCTGCTGTGAAACAAGAGAAGAAGGACCATGAAGAAATTAAAACAGAAAGTGATAATGAAAAAGACAGCTCTCCTAATACTAATGGGAATGTAAAGGTAATGTCCTCATTAGTTGAAATGCAAGTCCACTTTTTGTCACACAAGTGATGCATATGTTATTAAAACTTAACTTCTTGAACATGAAAACTGACTGACTTATATTAATACTATACATGATATGTGTTATACTTTGCAATCCATGAACTAATACTATTTACTAATAGAAGTTATTGTTATTAAAATGTTTGAACCTGACCGCACTGGTCGTGATCACAGGCCGACTGGCTTAGACAATAACTTGTTATTATAGATGATGTATATCCATTCATTCTACCCTATTGTCATCTATGACAACATGCAACTAAGATGTTCTGTACAGAAAAACTTAATGAAACTTAAAAATATAGAAATTTACTCAATTTATATTCCGAGTGTTAGAAAAGTACCGGAACAGCAGAATACGTTGAACACAAAAGTTACAGGAATTTTCCCAGGCTATGCATCGGTGACCTTGATCACAACCTTAAAGGTTATCTCAAGGGACAATGGCAATTTTCAAATGGGATTGCATATTTTTGAGCTCTAAAGGTCAACGCACACATTACACCGTAACATATATTTTCAAAAATGTGTTCCGGTACTTTTCTAACACCCTGTATTAAACCGGCCTTGAAGTGGGTTTATAAGTCGAAGAAATTTTCCTTGAGCAGTCAATTTATAATTATTTCATACTCAACTCAAAATTTGTTAAAAGTTGAAGATTCAAGTCAAGTTACTCTGGATATTTAGATCTACGTAATAGGGTAAGGTAGAAAAAGGCTTAGAAAATATAAATTAAATTTTCTTATTATAAATTATTAGGTTCAGACATTAGTTTTTATTAAACTATTTATACATATGCAGGCATATTCTAAAAGACCCAGACTAGAAAGCAGTGAGAGTGATGGATCACCTCAGAAAAAACAGACCAGTCCAGCTGTTAGTCTTAATAAGGTAGGACCTTCTAAATTATAACATGTAATATATTAAAATAGAGAAAATCCAAAAAAAGACATTAAGGACTACTTACTAGGTCTAGGTAAACTGTAGACTTTTCTATCTACAACAAGTCTACAGTTAACCTAAACCTTGATAACTCAAAAAGTTTACTTTCTTCAAGTGTAGTTCAGCACTTGACACAGATGCAACATTTTTAGTGTATATATAAATATTATATATTATAGCACATTCACACAACGCCATCTAGTCCCAAACTAAGCAGAGCTTGTACTATGGGTACTAGACACCTGATATAAATACATATATACTTTTTTTTGTAAATACATACATATTATACATAGAATACTATATTATACCCAGACCAAATCAAACATTAAATGTTCATGCATACAAATGTTTGACATGAGCGGGAATTGAAACCGCGACCTTGGAATAGCAGTCCGTTACACAAACCACTACGCCATCCGGTCGTCGATGTGTATGTACGTTATGTATAATTAGTTGCCTTTAAATACAGGTGTCCCATTTCAATTAAGTGATTTCTTAAAAGCTTTTGTTTGTGATAATCATAATATCCCTCTGGGTAATCTGGAATTGCAAGAAAGGTTTTCATCTTGATATGGTTGTCATTAAATTTTTCTTTGATTAGTAATAGAGTAAGTTGATTAAAAAAGCTTACAAAGATCTTTAAGGCATCCATTTCGAAGGGTGTGCCACAGGGGTCTATCCAGGCACCTATTATGTTAACTATAGTTTCTCAGCATTCATGATTGGCTAAGATATTTAACGTAAATTGTAATGACGCAGCAACAAGACTTTCATTGAAAGTCAACTACAAAATACAAATAATTAAAAACACACATTAGAACATTAGATTTAAGAGGGACTACATTGCTATGTTCCCCACTTTCGAATAGAAACGTGGCTTATGAAATATAAATATCAGTATCAATATAAATATAAAATATACTAGTAAGTTGTATCCATAATGCTTTAAAAATATCTAAAATATAAAAATCTGGCTTTAGATTCATTAAATAAATGGATGACCATTTATTCGAAGTATATTATTAAATAAATAATTATGGTTTCAAACATGGCAATATATTTCAGAAAAGCAGAATAAAACGTCAGCGCATAGAGAGTTCAGGTAGTGAGTCTGAAATGTCGCCCAAACAAGAGCAAGGTATTGAGTCCCCAAAAAGTGGTGAAAAGGTCATTAAATCAGACCCTGACCCATCATCTAAGAGTAACGTTAAAGAAGCTGCTTTACCAAAAGCAAACTCATCACCCAAAACCAATAAAAAGAATACGCTGGTCAAAAGTCCAACTACTAAAGAAAAAAAAACTCCAGCCAAACGGAAAAAGAATGCATCTTCCGTTAAAGATGGCGATGATAGTAAAACAATGAGAAGCCCATCTCCAGTCAAAGTAAAGGTGGAGGAAGATGATACGAGTAACAAAGAAAAAAGCGAAGAGAAGCAGGCGGTGAAGGTGGAAGCTAATAGTGAGAATAAAGTTCTGGTTCCAGGTGAGTTCATTGCAACATTCCTATGTAAATAATTATACAAATAAAACGTGGAAATATATTATTGAGTATGATCGCTTGTCATCCGATGTAGGCCTTTCTATTGTTTAAGAAAAGTTTTCTTAATCTAGCTTTTGTACGGTCTCAGAAAGTGATAAATTAAAAGGAAATTTCGATCAGGTTCCAAGCAGGATCCAGAGATTACCGTTTCATACGAAACGAATCGATAATCTCTTGATCCTGCTCGCTCAGGGAGCGGGGCTTGATCGATGTGTTAATGTTTTCTTAATGCGAACGGCGATACATTTTGTGAACGTGGAACAGAAGCTGAATACGATCCGTCCAAGTCGAAGTACCACCCGGTCGTAGACGCGTGTTGGGCGGCGGGAGCTCCGGTGCCGTACCTGGCGCTGGCGCGCACGCTCGAGCTCATCGAGGGCACGTCGGCGCGCCTCAAGATCGTCGACATCCTCAGCAACTACCTGCGCTCGGTCATCGCGCTCACGCCGGAGGATCTGCTCCCCAGTATATACATGTGTCTGAATCAGCTCGCTCCTGCCTATCATAGCTTGGAGCTCGGTAAGTGTACACTTTGCATACTCTGCAGGATTTTGATTACGATCGTTTTGAAACATGCATCAGTTTAGAGAACAGTTTAACATTTTCATACATAATTCACGTTATTATTAAAAAAAAATAACAATGTAAGTCAGCTTAAAGTAGGGAAATGATTTTTATGATACTAATGCTAGTAGCCGTTAAAGAAAAAAGTATTGGGTCGTTTTTTTATTTCACATTTAGTTTTTTCTATCTCAAATCCATAATTTTGTAAGTAAGATGTGATGTGAGAAGAGAGTAGCGCGTGTATCGTAGTGTGCGCGCAGGTATAGCGGAGACGTACCTGATGAAGGCCATCGGGCAGTGCACGGGGCGGTCGGTGGCGCAGGTGAAGAGCGCGGCGGCTCGCAGCGGCGACCTGGGCCGCGCCGCCGAGCTGGCGCGCGCCACGCAGCGCACCATGTTCGCGCCCGCGCCGCTCACCACCAGGGGGGTCTTCCACGCGCTCAGGGACGTCGCGCGCATGACCGGTGAGCTCCCCCATACCCACACCGTCCTCCCTTGCTCCTTACTCCTACTCGCTCTCGACCGATAGTAACGCCAACGAGCTCGCCGTCGAGAGCGAGTCGATGGGAAAGAACTCGTACTAGGCCCCCTTGACTAGCGAGCGACAAAAAGAAGCCGATTCCGGTCACCGGTCCTGACGTTCTAAACCGAACCACTTTACTCTTAAATTTATATATTTTTGTCAACCGATTTCACTCCATCTTATATTAACACTATTTATTGCAAGTTATAAAATGTTGTGCTAAATCTATCTCTCGCTACCATACATTGTTTGTTTGTTGTTTAACATATTTTTATTTTTTTTCTATCGATATTTACTTATTTTTTATCTGAATCTTTTATAAACATACACTTTTGATTGTATTCTAACCAACGACTTGGAAACTTCAAATGTCTTCGTCTGACCGCAGTGATGATAGTACCGACTTTTTGCCTGCTTGTAGTGATCTTGGTTCTCAGGGTGATCCAACAATCGTTGAGTCTCTCTCATCTCGTTCCCAAAAATCTTAACATTGTACACATCAATGCTCAAAGTGTTCCGGCTCACTTCCCCGATATGCTGGCATGTTTTGACTGTACGAATTTACACGCTTTCCTTATTTCTAAATCGTGGCTTAAGCCCTGCTTACCCTCTTCTGCTTATACCCTGCCAGGGTTCAATCTCATCAGGAATGACCGCGCTGTGGGTGGGGGCGGCGGTGTTGCAATCTACTTGCGCTCCTATATCCCCTACTTTGTTATTAGTATGTCGCCGCAGCCCCCTCCAACGAATGCGGGTGAACATCTTTTTCTGGAAGTTGAACTCCTTCAGTCTAAAATCCTTCTTGGCGTCTTCTATTGCCCATCCTTACGCATTGACTTTTTCTCATCGTTTGAGCTGCTCCTAGAACAACTTACTCCTTTATACAGTCATTCCATAATCATGGGTGATTTCAATACCTGCCTCCTTAAAAACGATTCTCGTTCGTCGACGCTTTAATCTATCATCCAATCTAGCAATCTATCTATTCTTCCTTATCCTTATCCTTATCTATATCCTGCTAGACCTTATCCTTGTTTCCTCCCCTAATCTTGCAGCTAAACACGGTCAGTGCTCTGCTGATGAGTTTTCTTACTATGACTTACTATATCTTTCCTATCGTCTCCGACCTCCTAAACCTAAAACTAAAATTATCCTGCAGCGGATCTTCAAGGACATGGATGTGGATGCCTTAGTAAGGGATGAAAGCAACATGGACTGGGCTCCTCTCTTTAGTGCTGATTGTATTAATGACAAAGTGTCATTTTTTACCTCCAAGTTAATGTCTCTCTTCAATAAATATGCGCCGATTCAAGAAATGAAGGTCAAACGCCTCCCGTCACCATGGCTAACTGCGGATATAAAAACGGTAATCAAAAAGAAAGCGACAGTGAAATCGAAATTCAAAAAGAATCCAAGCGATAGCAACCGGGACAAATACGTGTCTATCAGGAATCATTGCAGCAGGGTGTGTAGGAACGCTCAACGCCGATATATCCACAGCTCCGTGGAAAACGGGGATCCAGCTAAAGTCTGGAAATTTTTAAGGGCAATGGGAGTAGGCAAATCTGTTAATGAATCGTTTTCAAAAAATATAAACTTAAACTTACTTAACCAACATTTCACTGCTTCGTCAAATTTTGATAAAATGACAAAAGATGCTACACTGAAACATCTTACTTCTGCCCCGACTCCTGACTGTTCTCCCTTCTTCTTTAGACAACTTGCAGAGTGTGATGTTAGGAAGAGCATAGTGTCTATTACTTCGAATGCAGTGGGTTCTGACTGTCTAAGCCGCAATATGATCCTCCCAATCCTCGATGAAATCCTTCCTGTTGTTTGTCACATACTAAACTTTTCAATTACCTACAGCGTATCTCCCTTTTCTATCCAAGGTCCTTGAACGTCTTATTCATTCTCAACTCACGAATTTCCTATCCAGAAACGTGCTCCTAAATCCTCTCCAGTCCGGTTTTCGACCTGGTAACTGTACCACTACTACCCTAGTCCATATTACGGAGGATATCAGATCTGCTATGGAGAACGGCGAGCTTACAGTTCTAACAATGCTGGACTTCAGTAACGCATTAAACACGGTCGACTTTGACGTTCTGCTGTGTACATTACGCACTCTTAACATATCTCCAACTGCGATTGACTGGTTTCGCAACTACCTGCTTGGTCGCCGGCAGCGCATTAGTATTAAGAGCACTGTTTCATCTTGGTGTAGTACTACAGCCGGTGTACCGCAGGGCGGCGTGCTATCGGGGAGATATACTATACTTTTCTCTGTTTTTATCAACACTATCACTAATGATCTATCGTCTTCCTACCACCTGTATGCAGATGATCTCCAGATCTATTCTAGGGCTACACTAGGTAATCTGGCTGATGCTGTTGGCACCACAAATTATGACCTAGATAAAATATGTAGGTGGAGCAACTCCCACGGTCGTTGTTGGAAGTTCGAGAATGATCTCCAAAATTGACTGGACAAATCTGCATCAAATCACTTGCAACGGCACACTTATTCCGTACAGCGATAGGGTAAAAAACCTGGGCATTTACATTGATACTACCTTATCTTGGGGACCTCAGGTACAAGAGCTGAGTCGCAAAATGTTTGCCGCTGCAGGATCCTTGCGCCGACTTCGCAACTTTCTACCTACTACTACCAAGATTACTCTTGCACAATCCCTTCTTCTCCCCATCCTTGATTATGCTGATGCCAGCTATCTAGACCTTACTGAAGACAAATTGAATAAGCTTGAGAGGCTCCAAAATCTGTGCATAAGATTCATATTTGGACTTCGCAAATATGATCATGTTTCTGAATTTCGCAAAAAGCTTAAGTGGTTACCCATTCGCCTTCGCCGGAATGCACATATTCTTTCTCTTCTCTATAGTATTCTATTTAATCCTTCTACTCCACAGTACCTCAAATCACGGTTTACGTTCTTGAATGACACACACTCCAAACTGTTGAGATCGTCAGAGAACCTAAAACTAAAAATGCCGGAACATTCCACAAAATTCATTGACGTCTCCTTCTCCGTCCAAGCAGTTCGGTTGTGGAACACCCTACCGGTCGCAATCAGACGGGCACAATCACTTGCCTCCTTTAAGAAACAACTGAAAGAGTACTACCTGGAAGACGGCAACGTCAATTATCTTCTTCTAAGTCGACTAGGTCACACTTTTTCTTATAATATATGTATTTATAACTTATAAATCGTCGTATCTAATTACATGTATCTAATAACACCATATTTTCCCCCTAGTATGTTATATGTTCACCTAAGGTCAACAAATAGATATTATGTGTAATTATCATATATCATATCTTTTTATAGTTATGTATATACTACTTTGATTTCTTCTTCTTATTCTTCTTTCCTAACACACCAGCAACTACCCAATACCTCCTCCTCTTCATGTTTTCTCTCCATACCACGGTTGCCTGTAAGAGATTGCCTCTGGGCGATAAGGCCGCCACTTGTACTGAACTAGTTTAAGGTAATTATGTATATTTATATCTGGTGCACAATAAGTGATATATTATTGTCTGCAACAGTTTTGTCGGCAATGAAGAAATACAACCGACTAATGCTAATCACTCGTATAAATATAACCAGGTCATGCGTCCGTAAACAAGAAAATAAACAAGATCCAGTCTCTGTACGTCGCGTGCCGACACTCGGAAGCAAGATATTTGATCAGGTATTAAACTATCAAAGATTTTCACTGTAGTGTAAACGCTTTCTTTGAAATAAGTTGTGGTTCATCGCTATCTCTGCACTTAGAATAGAAGCACAATGATCTTTGATGAATAATTTAACTCAACTAGCCAACGAGTTATACCCTATCACTATATTTCATTATAATAATAATAACTTCACACATCTCACACACGGCAATCTGTTCCCAAACTAGGTAGAACCTGTGCTATGATATCCAGACTACTGATAAACATACTTATATATTTCTAAATACATACATATTATAGATAAATCACACCCAGACACAAAAGAAATCATCATGCACAATTATTTGACATGGGTAGGAATCGAACCCACGACCTCCGGCAGTCAGGGTCACTAACCACTAGACCAACAGGCCCGTCATTTTTTAAAATACATGGGTATTGGTTTACAAATTATTGAAATAAAATTAAAGAAAAGTTCACAAGCCAAGTTTTGCAAAGCAGGCACTGAAAGACTGGGTCAGATAAGTTACATAAACCAAGGTTAAGGGAAGTTGTATAAAGCAATATAAGTTCTATTGTAACCGCTTTTCTTGTCTGGCGGACTACTCACCGGCCAACCCAGTGGAGAGATTTACGAGATTACCTCAGGGCGCCTTGTTAGAGAACAGAAGTGTGTGCGTGTGGGAAACCTACGGGACTCCTTTGAGGAAAACAACTTACACCTCAGTCATACATACATGTATATTTCAAAAAAAAATTAAAGTTACAATCAAAAAAATAAATAAATTAATTAGTGGGTATAAAAAAACCGCAGCGGCGCGCGTCAGAGCCGAGCTGATGGTGCTCGGAGCCTTCTCGTCTTCACTCCAGGAGGTCACTTCCCCTTCCGCCCGAGTCGGCTATTTATATTAGGTATTGAGGAAAGTTCACGATTGATATTAATAAAGTTAACGAGAAGTACGTAACCCTTGAGTACGGCTGTCCGCTTGCTTTGTGAGCCGCGTGACTGTCAGTTTGCCAGAGGGTACCGAGAAACTTGAATTCGCACCAGAAGGCCACAAATGAATCCGGCCTCATATTATCGATCAGGTTCCAGAAACAAATAGGTACAAGAAAAATTAAGAATATACTCACCACTTCGTGGGTATTTTGAAAATATTACGAAAATAAAATCACCAGACTAACAGAACACTATTTAAGATTGGAAGACAAGAGTTTGCAGAGTGTTGCCCGTGGCTGAAAGCCGGACTTATATATGTTTGGTTTGTGAAGTTTCCAGAAAGAATCCCTACTTAACATTTTAATTTGACATTTAAATTATCAACGAGGTCAACACGAACAAAATCAAAAGTAACTCGCTTCCTACCATAACAAAACACTTTTAACACCTATACAATTTGTCATGATAAATTAATAAAATGACTTATCTACAAAACAAACGCCATCTAGTGGTCCGACGGCGAACGAAGAACATCAATACTATAGTTATAAACTACTTAGGATAAATCAAACAAAATGCGACGCGGGCAATAGGTGTCGCTGTTAACAAGTCCGTACGCAATACAAATATACTAAAAAATAACTGTTACACTATAACCACCTACATTACAGTCCAGACCTGAAAGAACTCAACATTATGTATTGAAGTTACTTATTCCTCTTATGATCTTGCTTCTCATAATATCATGGAACAAATTTTCTTTCCAATAAAAAAAAAACAGCGTCTTGTAATCAATTGAAGACTTTGTCCTAGGCCTCTGATCACGGGACGGGCATACGGGTAAGGGAACCCGTCCTCTTCTACTCTTGCTGTCTAAGTACTATTTTCTCGTCCGAGATTTGTGGTCTCCATTACCTTATCCTATTACTTAGCTTACTCGTTCAATCCGTATTGCTTGTCCTAAACAATCTTCTTTCGTGACCCGGTCCAAAAACGATTACGTTCCCGACGATGCAGCGATGGTAGGTGGCTGGTCATAGAAGAAACTTACCGCCGACGATCCCAAAAAAATTGGTAAAGAAGAGGCTGATGATAAAGGATTAAATTGTCTGCAAAATTCCAAAGTTTGCACACTGTTGATGAACGATACTACACTAACAAAATGCTATACAAAACCCCCTCTATCTATGCTACTGAAAATGATCAGAATATTTAATGTTAAATGTGCAGGTCTTTGGAAGGAAAGTTGCGTATAGGCCTAGCAGAACAGTCGGTTCTTCAAGCGTTGGCATTGGCCACTGCCACCACCCCGCCGGACCCTGACGGTGTTAAAATACTGGACGCTTCCAAGGGGTTATCGACCGAACAGTTCAAGGCGAGTAAGGCGTTTCCAGCTGGGCGGCATAACGTCGGTTACGGTATGTCGTCATATTTATAAGTTTATATGTACGTTACAGGCACGGGTCGATGAGCACGCTTTGATAATAAAGACGACGTACTGCGAGTGCCCCAACTACGAGTCGATCATCGCCGTGGTGCTGCAGCACGGCGTGGCGGCGCTGCCCCGGCACTGCCGCCTCACGCCGGGGGTGCCGCTCAAACCCATGCTGGCGCACCCCACCAAGGGGGTCACCGAGATCTTCGACAGGTAGCGTCACCTTTGCGTCGTACGCTACGCGGCCGTGCCAGCTTCCGACTGATATATTAACGTGACTGATTAGATTCGAGAAGGAGCAGTTCACATGCGAATGGAAGTATGACGGCGAGCGCGCGCAGATCCACGTGCCGGGAGACGACAAACCGGACCTGACCGAAGCCTCCATCTTCAGCCGCAACCAGGAAAACAATACCAGGTGACTATCGCATAATTTAATTTGAGTAAAGTAGTAGTACCCGGGTTGCCTTCCAATAAAGTAAAACTCTGGAAGTATAACTCAAACAATTATTTATCTCCGCCATATTCAGTATTTTTATGTGCAATTCCACAATGTAAAATTAAATGGTATAGCACTCCACCTGCATGTATGTCGGTTATCGCGGTAGAAAGTAGCCATTGTCCTTCGTCAAAAATTAATGTATCTCAATGCCAAATTTCATTACAATAGGTTTAGCCGTGTAGGCTGAAAAGCGTAACAGACAGACTTTCGCATTTATGAGTAGGGATTAAAGCGGGTTATAGACTGTGTAACGTAACGTTACAATCCTCAGTAACAATTCACGCATACAAATTCTACTGCCTGTATCTTTACCAAATAACTTTAAAGAGAATACTATGTTGAAATTGTTGTACAGCAAATACCCTGACATCTTGCGGCGTCTGCCCGAATTATTGAAGGACACGGTGCACAGCTGCGTGCTGGACTGCGAGGCTGTGGCATACGACACCGAAACTAAGCAGATACTGCCCTTCCAAGTGAGTGAACCTGCTTGTACACTCAGCAAATTATATGTTACAGCGGTAGCTTGGCAACTTTAGTACGACAAATAAATAGTGTGTTTGAATAATGACTTGTGTGTTCTCAGATCCTGTCGACTCGCAAGCGCAAGGACGCGGCGGAGGCCGACATCAAGGTGCAGGTGTGCGTTTTCGTGTTCGACCTGCTCTACTTCAACGGGGAGCCGCTCGTCAACCAGCCGCTGCTGAGGAGGAGGGAACTGCTGCGGGAACATTTCCGTGAGAAAGAAGGTCAGCTTAAAATAAATCAACTAAATACGACGGAGACATCGATTAAAATGAACACAATAATCCGCAATTAAGAGCGATGCCCACTAATATCCTTTACATTTGTTTAGTAGTCGTTCCGTAACGTTGCAGGGTCGTGGCAGTTCGCGACGTCCGCGGACTGCAGCGGCGTGGAGGAGGTGCAGCAGTTCCTGGACGCGGCCGTGCGCGGCTCGTGCGAGGGGCTCATGGTCAAGGCGCTGAGCGGACCCAACGCGCGCTACGACATCGCGCGCCGCTCGCACAACTGGCTCAAGGTGAGCGCCCGCCCTGCACCCCTCGACCGGCCCCTTCCTCGCCGTCGACCGCCACTTATCGATGTGTCATTCCGCAGCTGAAGAAGGACTACCTGGAGGGCGTGGGGGACACCATCGACGTGGTGGTCATCGGCGCTTACACCGGACGGGGCAAGCGCGCCGGGGCTTTCGGCGGGTTCCTGCTGGCGTGCTACGACCCGCACAGCGAGGAGTACCAGTCGCTCTGCAAGATCGGCACCGGCTTCTCCGACGAGGATCTCGCCACGCTCACCGCCACCCTTAACGAGCACATCATCGATGCGCCCCGGAGCTACTATAGGTATACCGGTTGCTTTAGTCGAGTCTAATTGCACTTAATCAAATAATGTTTCAAATCCTTATTTTATTTACAAATAACCTAAATGTAAAGTCGCTAGACAAAAATCCGTCCGCAAAATGGATGCCCAGAATCTGAAACTACAGTTAAATTCAACAATGGTATACAAAAATTATTAAATAATTACCTATTGTAGGGCGACAGGGTTACCAGTGCAGAAATCATAGACGTCTTTGGTAGCTGTTATCGTTTATTCTGGTTTCTGTCTAGCTTATACATATATTAGCAAACTTGTACTTATACATAAAACCCTATGAGAGCAGTGAAGAGGACTGCGGGGCTATCGCTCATCACTACTTTCCTACGCTACGTGAGTGTCTTAAGAGGACTGCGGGGCTATCGCTCTTGAAGACCTCATGCTTAGCAGAACCTGATGACTGCGGGGCTATCGATCAGGTCAGCTACTGGACACCAGAGTGGACTGCGGGGCTATCGCACTCTGAGTCGTCTAGCTATCGACTGCCATACTGATCTGCTGGTTTTCACAACGTCCCATAGGGGGCGTGTGGTGGCTGGTTCGGGGCTTCGGCCCCCTGCCAGCGATTTCTACCGCTACCCCTGAATAGGGGTAGGTCGTGGGCTTGTGTTTATGGTGGTCCGTTACGTTGTGGAGGGGTTACTTCAGTCTTCATGCCGCCCCGGCGGTCAAGCCCGAGCCAGGTGAGACCCCAGGCGATACCTGGGGAGGCCCAGCACCGGGCGACAAGCGACAGAGGCGGCGACTTACGTGTAACCCCTCTGGTGTCTAGTCCGGGAGTGGCGCCTCGCACCGCTGTGCGGTCTGCGGGGCGCTGTCTTCTTTCCATTGTTGCGGCGGTCATCGCCGCCCCCACACGATGTACCTACTTGGGCCAAGTAGGCGCAGGTGCTCGCGGGCCGGGGGTGGCCGCAGCAACACTGTAACAATGTAATTTTTTAAGTTAAAAATTTATTATAAGGAACTTTTCTATTATTTGAGTAGGGCCGCGCCGCGGCGCCGCGTTTGGCCCCCCATGGGGGCTTCCTATGCGGCGCGGCGGGGCCCTTAATGGGTTGTTTGTGGGACGGTGTCTGTACCCGGGAGGGGACCACCGTCTTTGTCGGGATCGTCCGTAAGGAGGTCGCGCGGGAACTTCTTTTTGTCGGGTGGTCGAGCGTGCCAAGGCGCCAAGTCCTAGATGTGTTCCCAGGAGGACGCGTCGGCACGCTTGAACATCGCGATGGTGAGACGGCGTATGTGGGCGTCCAGGCTCTCAATCTTGAGGTCCCTCTGGATGACATCGTTTCTCACGTAGCGAGGAGCCTGCGTTACGTCACGCAGTGCCAGCGACTGTTGTGCGCGCAACAGGCGGCGACTCGACTCGCTCGTGAGGGCGAACCAGGATGGGGCGGCGTAAGTGAGCTGAGTGCGTACATATATTTTGTACACACTCAGTTTTGTTCGCAGAGGGAGGCGAGACGAGAACACTGGACGTAGTAGGGCGCGGGTTGCCCTTACTCGCGCGACCGTGCTACGGACGTGTGATGCCATAGTGAGACGGCGGTCTATGGTGATACCTAGGTATGACACTGTGCTCCTCCACGGGATTTGTTCGTCCTGTAGTTGGAGTGGTGGTGGGAGCTTCCGGGTTTGGGTGAAAGCTACCGCCTGTGTCTTTCCCACGTTGACCGACAGTCGCCATTGCGACAGCCAGGGGGGCAGAAGCTCTAAGGTGCGCTGCATTTTGATCGCGGCGTGGTCGATGTTTAGACTCGTTGTTATGTACGCCGCGTCGTCGGCGTACAGCGCTAATACGGCCCCCTTGGTCGTAGGTATGTCGTCGGTGTATCGCGTGTATAACACAGGCGATAGGCAGCTCGACTGCCATACTGGAGGCTGAGTAGCGATGTGCCGAGTAGGGCTTGACTCGAGTCAGACTCGATTCCTGCTTTAGACTCGCTTATTCGAATACCAATTTATTTTGATTCGAGTACGCCGGACTCGATTCCGGCACTCGAGTCAGGAAGAATCGAATTTGTACTCGCTGACTCGATTCTGTTTAGCGATTCCATGTGACTCGAATCTAACATACGAGTTAGGTTGCCTCGCTCGTACTCGATATCTGTTTACATAAGGAATGATGTGACGACTTTTTTTTTTTGGTGTTGGGTGGAAAATCCCTTCGGATCTCCTGCTCCACGGGGACTATGAGCCAGGAGTATGTGGTGATTCCACTAAAAACCACCCCGACGGCCGGTCTCAGGTGTCCTACTTTGGGGAGGACCCGGACCATGTTATTTCAGGTCCTCCCCGAATTGACACCATGCCTAATCAGGCCCTATCCCAGGGGTGAAGAGTTCTGGACCCGAATTTCTAGACTCAAGTTCTAGATCGAATTTCCAGACTAGAGTTCTGGACTCGAATTTTTAGACTCGAGTCCTGGACTAGAGTCAACATTCGAATACCAAACATGGAACTCGAGTATTGGGCTCGAATCGCGGCATCCAGTCATGATTCGAATACCGTATAAACCGACTCGAGTCGATTCGATCCACCAAAACAGCGACTCGGCACATCACTAAGGCTGCGTGCCGGTTTATAAAGGCGGCCCTGTGCTCCCACTTCCACGATGTCGTAGGTGATGCGCGTTGAATGGAATAGATAGGCGGTGTGCGAGAGAGAAAGTATTCGGGTTCATGCGCAGTACATTATTGTCTTGCTACACTATTATATTAGGTATTAGACTAATAATAATATTTCGGACATCTGATACACAACGCCATTTAATTTCAAACTAAGCAGAGCTTGTAGTAGATCAGATTGACTGATAGAATACTTATATACTTTTTTTTGTAAATACCTAAGTTATTACTAATAGTTAAGTTTTATGTTTGAATTTGATTTAGTTTGGTGTACTTCGCAAATATTCGTTCGATTGCTTTATACAGAATAAACTTTCGTCGATACAGTAGGGTCGGAAGGAGTCGTAAAACGACGTACAGAACTCCTACCTAAGTCGAGTGTGTATCGCTGCAGGTACGACGCGAGCCACGCGCCGGACGCGTGGGTGTCGGCGCGCTGCGTGTGGGAGGTGCGCTGCGCCGACCTGTCGCTGTCTCCCTCGCACCGCGCCGCGGCCGGCCTCGTGCACGCCGACAAGGGCATCTCGCTGCGCTTCCCGAGGTACGGCGGGAGGACGGCTCCGGGAACGACTGCGCGTCTATGGGTACGGACCTAATATTTTCATGTTGCGCCTCGGTTCCAGGTTTATTCGCGTCCGCGACGACAAGGGCCCGGAGCAAGCGACTTCCGCGCAGCAGATCGCCGAGATGTACCTTGCGCAGGACCAGGTCAAGAACACCGCCAAGAACGATAAGAAATCCAATATCGATGATTTTTACTGATCTTTATTTTATGTACATATTTAATAATTATATAAATTTTTCGCATAGCTATTGTATTTAATTTATAATATTTTGAGATATTTGATGATTTTTTTCATGTTTTTTTAATTACTTTTCACCCAGTGAGTGTAATTAAAGATGCCCAAAACCCCCTTCCCTCCGTTTCATGGGAGGGGGGAAAGGCTGAAAGGACGGCAACGCGCTTGAGATTCTTTGCCCCCTGTACCAAAACAGACACTTATTTTAACATCAATCCACTGATCATGTGGCTTAATACAACTCAAAAACACCTATCAATTTGATATTAATCACGCGATTTGTCATTATTTGCCGTTTCAGCCTTCTCTCTACACTCTGATCCATCTTGACAAGATTCTAATAAACCTATTACCACAGACAGTTTATATGTGTCTGTTACTGCTATGTGACATGTTAATTCAAAACTATTGTTTTTAAAGAGTCAAGTCCAAAGTGATGAACTTAATGAAATAACATGAACTACACACCATATTATACAGCTAAACAGAACACCTGATTAAAGATAATTAATATTTTTTATATAGTCCATCGTTATATCAATAAACTGTAAATAGTGAATTGAGAAGAGTTATTTTCCATCCAAACCCATTATGAAATATAAAAAAGAAATGGTATTTTAAGAAACCTATTTTAATTGTACCTTAAGGGCTGGACCAATTCTGATTATATTTTACTACCTAGTAGCTGTCTATATAAGAAGTAACTAAGGCTATTTTTTCTCTCAGAAAAAAACAATAAAATTATGCCTGGTCCAGGAATCGAACTCACTATGGCCGTGCTTTTAAAATTTCACATGACCATTCTTTTCAAATTCCATTAAACCAGTTAGTTTTGAATAAATCTCTGGTTCTCCTATCAGATGTGCACAACATAAAATATTTATTTTCAACACTATTAAAGGCTAGAAAATGCAATAAAAATATATAATATACACTTTATGCCACAGTGTAATCAAATTAAATGATAGTGTTCTAATTTAGCATTCCCAATAAAACTACTCCATTTTATAAAAATGATTTATTATTTACAAATAATTCTTGATTCACTTTTTTTACACAGCAGGGTATTTTAATATTACAAATGTTACTTTCTGATGCTAATATTGATATTTACTTATTAGAATTTTCAACAGATTGATTATAAGTTCATGACAATAAATCAGAAACAATAAGATTAGTATTCTTTACTAATGTGTTTTCATTTTTTAAATGCTCTCATCCAATTCAAATCACACTAAGTATATACTCATAATTCTATTTCTTGCATTATCTGTTCAAAACATTAGTGTTTACTATATATATAGCAATAATTAATAAACACTTTTTGTAATCACCAACACTTTTATGCTCCAACTTACAGATAGTTGAGTTTGATCCTTGATTATCACCATATAAAATTACAAGTAAAACTTGCTCAAAAGTATTTTCTGCACAATGCAACACTTGGTGTCAATATCTGTACCAACACAGTTTTATACATTTCATCATGCCTAATATGATTCCTTATTTTCTTTAATACCTTGTTTGGTACACATGTGTTATCTCTGCAGCAAAGTTGTCAAGATATTCCTCTATTGATAACAATGTTCCCACTCAGCTGCTCACCAAAGATCTTATTGACTTTATAAATAATACAAAAAAGCTAATTATTTTTGGATGAAAGAGAAAACACACTGCAGATGTTAAGTAAATTTTAGTCTTGGTTACTATTGCATCAACCCAAAACAAGTGACCACTTTATGTTGTGTAATTATGAATAAAGCTATGAGGTAAAGTATTTTGGAAATACATAAACATTATGACTTCTACCTAAAACCTTTATAAATTTTATAATTCAACATTGACTCAAAATTAGTGAGTAATGTATTTTATCCTTCCCAACCTGCTTAAGACATGTTTTTGCCGTATCCCTTTGGAATTGTCTTAAACTGATTTTACTCCATATTATTACTAATTACAAGGTAAACTGCTTATTATATATAACTTAATCTTAAGTGGTTGGTGACTTTATGCCTTAACTGTTAAAATTTATCAGTAAATATATACAAATCTGCACATACTAAGCAAGTCAGTAACACTGTTCTCTATCTCTAACTAAACTTAAAAGCTATAAATTATTTGCTACACAACACACACCTTACAGTAATCCAGTCTCAACATATGTCTTGAATGAACACAAATATTACAGTCGAAAATAGGTAAGAAGCAGGGCTACCGTCTGGCACCACCCCGTTGATGCCCTCGACCTCCACGCACGTACGTCTTATGGCCTGCATGTTTGTTGCCACCATGCTCTGGAGCCCCTTGTGCAAATCGATCAGTCTTGTTAGGGTGTGCTGGTACAGTGGGCGGTTGGGTCTGTAATGATCGCATGGGCGCATGTGCGCCATTAGATCGATCCGCCACAGGAGGCGCAGCACCTACCGGCGCTGGTGGTGGGGTAGGTTGTGGTTCGCTCATATTTACTTGCTCATTAAACAGCATACAAAACTCGCCTACTTTTTGAATATCGCCTGATTTGCCGGAGTATAATGTAAGCGCAGCCCTCCATAATGACGCGTAACCGCGCGTCAACCTTACGATATCGCCGGGCTGGAGTAGAGCTCCCGGCTCGTCCCATACAGACAGATTCACGGAAGCAGTCGCGTCAGCAACACGTAGAGTTCGCACTTCACGAGCCTCCTTTGTCAAAGTAGGTTGCCCCACTTCCAAAACTATGAATTCTGCATTGATGTTCTTCATTCCAGGCTTTAAGTCCTTAATTTGCACGTACTGTATGGTACTCATGGCGAGACTGATTAAAAATTACTAGAAATAAATTTTAGGCTAAATTCTATAGTTTGTACAATACAGGTACGTTAAAAACTTGATTAGGCTTAACATATTCAAATTAACAGAGAGAGAAACGGAGTGTGTAGTTTTTAGGCAAAATATAGATCTGTCTGTCTGACGAAGTAAAGACAGAAAACAGCAATATGAATTTGAATGAGTGACATAGTAATGACAATTCTGTCAGTACTGTCACTTGATATCTGATTAGAGTAGACTACAGATTAAAAGATATGTAAATTGTACACAATAGATTGTGGATATTAAACCGTGCACCGTCTGTCTGTACCTGTGAGGGTTTGGGTTTGTCACTTGTGCTTTATTACATTAAAAATCTTAAGACTTCTAGGATTTTCTCTTCCATAACATGCATGTACAAATTCCCAACCCGATTTTTATAACAACCGGATTTAATCACTTATGGGGTCTTTTAAGAGTGACTTTGAAAAATTAGTAGCAACGTTTTTTATCACTTTTATAAAGAGTATTTCTTGTAAGTTTTAAAATGCTACCACCAAAAAATAACAAAGTTTCATATATTCCAATCCAAATTTTGCACCCTACGTTCCCTAAGGAACATTAGTGCAATATTATATACTTTTAGACCAGTTAGAGCGGTTTCAGCAGTGTGTGAATCGGCCAGTTAGTGAATCAGAATGTCAGTTTCTTCTTTTACAGATATAGATTATAAAAAACATAAAAATATTTTATCCTACTTCTTAACTTTTATAATACGGAACCACTTTTATATAGACAAGGCAATAACATAAAAATTTGGTTGAAGCATGTAACGACAGCCATAAATAAGTTGTAGGAAGATATGTACTTTCCTCACACTATTATTTTTAAATTGCAATTTTAGATAGCAATTTAAAAAAAAAACTCGTGGGGATCGCTTTAGCAACTGAACCATTTAACGCATATAAAGTCATAGGGTACAGCATACCCCAAGAAAAGTATTGTTCTCAAGGGATAGAAAAAGTATTTATTATAAAAACCTAACAGTTATTCAATTTTATGGTAATTGTCCTGAAAACTGTTCCTGACTGACTAAAGGTCTTGTGTAGATATAATAACTGGGAGCTTCAATGATTTAATCATAGAAATATAACCTAGAGAAAAAAGAGCCACCAATCATACTTATAGGTGCAACGAGAGATAGAAAATAGATATTCCCTCATTTCTGTTTCTAGTCGAGTTCTGTGGTTCGGGCATATGAGGGGTTAATAAGTAGCCAATCGCAGCTTAGCTAAACACAGGCTAAACAGAGACATAGGGAAATATCAGGCATCCATCTCTCTCGTTGCCTGTATCCCTTCTACTCAGAGGAATCTGTACCCCGTGTTCTCTCTATGCTTATAACTCTGTAGCTTAAATTAATTTTCAGTTCAATATTCTCTGTGGTTTTAGTGACAATGAAACCACAGAGAATATTCAAACTTAACCTCAAAATTCAAATGAGTCAATCAAACTGTCAAAACAAAACAAACTCTCCTTCTGTGTAAATAGAATTATTCTTGTTTTACAGTGTAACAATTACTGAAACACTGACTATAGAGTTAATAATTCCAATCAGAGAAATTATTTTATCAATCGGAGGTAGTGCAGTGTTGGGAAGTATTCTAGTCTTGTTCACAGTGTTTAGCACAGGAGGAACCGGTATGTTTAACCAATTAGGCGGGGGTTCGAGCAACCCTAACAAGGATTTAGAAGTCATGTCGCCACCAGACGACACTGTCTCGGCACTTGAATTTTCACCACCTTCGTTACAGCAGACATTCCTTATCGCCGGCAGCTGGGACTGTCGGGTGAGTGGTTTACGTGTTACACAAGTTTCTAAAAGTACCTACGCTTTTTTCGTACTTGTGATAAGATAATCATACTTAACTAATGTCTTATCACGTAAATCCCTCGTTTTAATAATTCTTGTATACATCATGAATCATAAAAACCTGAGCATCCCTATTTTGTCAGTACTAATTATCTGTGTTGTATTCTCCACCTTTAACAGTCCACTGCTGGACAAAGGCCTCTTCTTAGGAAGGAGGTTTTAGCCTACTATACCACGCTGGCCAAACAGATTGATATAGCATTGGTTTCAAGTTTAACTTTTCTATGCAGTGCTTATGTTCTGTATAGTTTGCTCACTTAGTTGGCTTTTATGACATCCATGGGTTGAATAGGGGTGGTGATACTCTGTATTCTTAATCTGCACTACATGGAAACTTTACTCTTTTGAAACCTTCCATATGTGATCTAGATACAGAATCATCATGAACCTAGTTTAGTACAATTGTAGTATCTCTTGAAAATGATATTGAAATATCTGTTAGGCAGACAGCTAACTTATACTTCTGTGTTTGTTTCTCTTAGAAAATGTTGTTTGCATGTGTGTTACAGGTGAGATGTTGGGAAGTAGAGGCATCGGGCAAGACAGTGCCCAAAGCGGCACAAGCTATGGAAGGACCAATACTAGATGTGGCATGGCATGATGTGAGTGTAGTATCAGCTCCTACAGCTTTGATAATGTTATCTAAATGTAACACTACCCGTAGTTGGTATTAAAAACAAGTTTCATGAAACATACCATTTTAATGTTTAATTGAGAATTACTTATGACCATTTTATTTATCTTGTTTTAACTTATAACAACTTTCAGCATCCGTATTATAGAATTCCACGATAGGTCAAAACTAAACCGCTATAATTTTGTGTAATTGTTTTTATATAATGTTTTAACATTATTATAACACATATTTTGCACTTCTACATTATCCTACTTTTAAAACATTAAGTATTCCAAATATGATATGCTTCCACCCACCAAATTTTTTATATTTACTGTAGTGGTTTAAGTGGTCACCTCGCTATTTCCTACTGCGCTGAGTGTTGTGGGTTCAATCTCCACATGGGACAACATTTAGTGTGATCCACAACTTGTTGTTCTGAGTCTGGGTGTTCTTTGTGTCTGTTTCATGTATGTTTGTAGTCCCCCACAACACAGGATATATTCCTAATGCAGGCCTTGTTTTTAATAAGATAAAAAAATTGTAAAACCAGAGTAGATACAAAGAATTTTCTTCACATGTTATAAATGTAATGTACCTATAGATCACAGAGTCAGTGTACCGTGCAATTATTAACTGTCAATTGCTTGTATATGATGTCATTTAATTTGTTTACTAGGATGGAACAAAGGTGTTCATGGCATCTACAGACAAGAGTGTCAAGTGCTGGGACCTAGCCTCGAATCAAACAGTACAGGTATGTGAACAGTAGCACCTGACTTCTGAAATAGTGGTCAGAATATTATTCAACCAATAGAGTAGGCAACTTGACAGAGGTATTAAATCAGTCTAACTTTTTAGAAACTTTTAACAAGAAATAAGTATAATCTGTGATTTATTTTATTCAACAATCAAATAAATGCGATTTCGACAGCGCCTGGTTTAGGGAGTACTCCTTGCGACGCGTCAGCGCTCACCTCCACTGTCTGCTGTGTTACCCCCTCTACCTAACCATATTCGAGACGAGCCTAGCAATGCCGTGGAGCTTACTGTAGCTCTTGGCAATCCAAGGTTTTTAAGCAGGTTATAGAGGGATTTAGCTGGTATACCCCTCGCACCCACTTTCACGCATACAACGCAACGAAATAACCATTTTTAGCTATTTCGTTGGTTAAGTCAAAGTACTTGTTTCCTTTTAAAGCGTGGTCTTTAGGGATGTTTATTTCCCACGGCACCGTGAGTTCTACTAGTACTACACGCTTAATTGACATGCATAAAGAAATATATCCGGTCTGCATTACAGATATCCTCTGGTATTCTGTAATGATTTTCATACGTAATACTAGTACTAATAATGTTCAGTCACTGGCGGTATTTATAATTGAGCAAGGCTAACATCGCGTTTGTATAATTACAAATCTAAGTAAAAAACTATAATAAGTACCCTCAATGTAACAGGTAACATTACAATACCAATAGTCCCTTCTAGTCAGTTTGAAGTCGGTGCCAAGCCAAATAGGTGCTTGATAGGCATGGTAGAATGTAGCGCGGCAGCTGCAACAGTCTTCATGCTGCGCAAAACATGATGAACGAGCTAAAGTGGACGCACATCTCCAATTATATTATTATTTTGAATTCTTTAATAAGTAGTTGATAAGTTTGCGCACGTAATTGATCTGGTTGGTCTTTATTAATTAACAAAATCTTCGATGTTTCATTAGAATTATTTTGAATTCTTAATTTTTCATTGTGCTAATATAAAGCTGACATAGACCAGTATTACTTATTGTACATCGAGCTTGGCACCGACTTCAAACAGACTAGAAGGGACTATTGGTATTGTAATGTTACCTGTTACATTGAGGGTACTTATTATAGTTTTTTACTTAGATTTGTAATTATTTTTTAATTTTTAGTGCTCTTTGTCGGTGTTTTTTGAAGTCGGTTCAACTTTTTTTTTAAAAAGGGTTTATTTTACCATTTTTAGTGTAGGATATGAAAATGACATTGGCGTCCAAACTGATCAAGATCAGCTTAAATTCTTTTCTAAGAAACAGTCAAATTCTTGTGAGTTGCAACCGAACAAAATAACTTCCGATTCAATTGACACTGATCTCGAAGGTGAAGATAGGGAAGCTTTAGTGAGACTACTCAACAAATATGCTCAATATTTTATAGAAGGAGTTCCAACTAGAAGGGTTAATACTAGTATGTTAGAAATTAACCTAGTTGACCCACCCAAAATTTAAGAGTTTTTTCCATAACTATTTTAATAAATTAAGTATAAAATTACTTACAAACGAAATGCGATGCCATCCATAGCAACAAAACGTCTATCCGAATTATTTTAACAAGATAGAATACAAAATTTCAACCTTTTCTTCTTAATACAACGAAAATTACTGTGGTGACATAAATACTGCAAGTTCTCTGCGCATCACATCGCTCAGTCTCTGACAGTTGCCATGGTTTGTTTGGCTAAAGAAATACTCGTAGCTAAAACACGTTGTCGGGGCTGTCAAATTCCCAATAATTGTAAGGGTTTCACTCGATTTCTCTAGGATCCCATTATCAGATCCTGAATTGGTGGTAATGGGACCAATTCGGGAGCATACCCTTTCGATTACAAAAAGAATTTTGAAAATCGGTCCACAATTGACGAAGAAATCGCGTAACAAACATACATAAAAAAAAAAATACAGACGAATTGAGAACCTCCTCTTTTGTGTTTTGGAAGTCGGTTAAAAAGAAAACATGCTGTCGAATCAAAAACCCTCCTTTTTTGATGTTGGTTAAAAATCGACTAGCATGAAGCTCCTAGTCGAGCCGAATCAAATGAGCACAAACACGGCGGAATTGCTTTATTTTATTACAGAGTTCCCATGGCTATTTACCGTCTCCATCATCAGACCCTGAATATAACATAGGATCGGAGTTCTTATTAATTAAACTCAAACACATTCAAATTCGATGGTATTACATAATTTTGTTACAGAGATCCCATACTCCTAAACCATTCATCAACAGCTTCATCATCAGCTCAGCAACATCAGATGGTGACCATTAGATGCAAAAATCTACATAGATTAAGATAATTTCTGATAAACAGTGTATATGCCTACAAAATTTGAGGGTTTCCCTCGATTTCCCCAGGATCCCATCATCAGATCCGGACCTGGTGACAATGGGACCACCTCTGACGTATGACCTACTAAATAAAAAAAGAATTATTCAAATCGGTTTATAATTGCCGGAGTAATCGCGTAACAAATATACAAAAAAAAAAAAAAAAAATACAGTCGAATTGAGAACCTCCTCCTTTTTTTGAAGTCGGTTAAAAAGAAAGTTCAACAAAAAATACTAAAAGTATTTTTTGTTGAACTTTCTTTTACAAACGCGATGTTAGTTCTTATGCTTGTTGTTATCCCTTTTATCGCTCTGGCCAGTGATAAAGTTATAGGTTCGCGTATGATTTGTAATACCCTATCATGGCGACGTGAATAATGACCCCGGTCTTATAGCGCCTTACAACCTGTCAGTAGGTTGCTTTGATCGGGGAGAGTTAGTTGTAAGGCGATGAGGTAAAATTTTATTAGGGCAGGTGGCCAATCGTATAAAAGTGTGCGCCATTTCAAAACTGGTGGGATACAAAATTCTCCTAGAGTTAACCATTCATTTCTAGGTTCGTTCTATTTGATATAAGATTTTGTAGTAAAATTTAACAACTTTGTTAATTAATCCTATGATCAATTCTATATGCCTATGTGCCTAGTAAGCATTTCAATATTTTTACATATTAAATGTACAAATAAAACAATATCCAATATTTTTATTGTAATAATATCATTTTATTTTTAAACTTCTAACTGCATGTTTTATTAATGAACTTTTTTCCATTCATTTTAATGTGAACTTCATATCAGGTCAAAATGTAGTGTCTCAAGACTTATTTGACTAAGAGTATATTGTTGCTTGCAGGTGGCAGCTCACGAGGCGCCGGTCAAGACATGCCACTGGATCAAGGCGCCCAACTACACGTGCCTCATGACGACCTCATGGGACAAGACCATCAAGTTCTGGGATACTCGCAGCTCCGTGCCCATAATGAACATGAATCTGTCTGAACGCTGTTATTGTGCTGATGTGGTTTGTTATTCTGTTTTTTTGTTAGTGCCACATAAACATGTTAAAAATATCCTTTCAGTATCTTGCCAATCAAAGTATAAGCAAGAAACTCCATGCTATGAAACCTTATGCCATCTACATATTGGTATAGGCAACTCACCTTTATTGGTTTAATTGAAATGAATTGTTTTTTTAAAGTAGGCAATTTACAAATGCTTGTTGGTAACACACACTATAATGCAAACACATAATATAAACAATAGCAAATATAACCCTCTGCAATAACCTATGCCTTGCTTTAGGATTACCCAATGGCGGTGGTGGGCACTGCAGATCGAGGTATTTGCCTTTACTCATTGGAGGGCAAGCCGGCCGAGTACAAGCGCGTGGAATCACCCCTTAAGCACCAGCATCGCTGTATCGCCATCTTTAAGGATAAGAAGACCAAACAGCCCACTGGCTTCGCCCTGGGTTCTGTTGAAGGCAGGGTGGCAATACAGTATGTCAATCCTACTAACCCAAAAGACAACTTCACATTTAAGTGCCACCGACCACCCGCCACCACTGGCGGATACCAGGTTTGTCGTTAATTTTATATATAATAAAATTTTCATGATGAATTTTTGGATAGGTAATCTGTTTATCTCTTTATAACCCGCAGGATATCTACGCCGTAAACGACATTGCGTTCCATCCAGCACACGGGACGCTGGCGACCGTGGGGTCAGATGGCTCCTTCTCGTTTTGGGACAAGGATGCGCGCACCAGACTTAAGTCCTCGGAGATGCTAGACCAGCCACTTACCAAGTGCGCTTTCAATCACAACGGACAGATCTTCGCGTACGCCGTGGGGTACGATTGGTCTAAGGTTGGTGATCACTTCTTCAGCTTATGTATTATCTGGTATACTTTGATGTTAGCAAAAACGACTTCATCGAAATCAGCCAAAAGTATTTATGACCGAGTATAAACTGCAATAGAATTTTTCCAGACTGAGTTAGTGTACGAAAATATACACAGTATTCCTAATGTGGTTATATTCTGGGATAGCACTATCCATGTTTATGTAGCGTCATGCCCATGAATAGTAGGCCTGTATGTACTGATATGATTCCAGGGTCACGAGCACTTTAACCCTGCCAAGAAGAACTTTATCTACCTGCGCGCGTGTTACGAGGACCTGAAGCCGCGATCCACGTGAGCGCGCCCTGCCACACGCGGGCCGTGTACAGTACACATATTGTGTACATTCATGTACCTCTTTGGTACTGCCGCATTTCTCCATATCCCTTCTAATCAAGTTGGAATTACAAATACTTTAAAGTGAAGTGTTAATTGCTAAGTGTGTGCAGTGTTTATTATCGTTAAGAATAAAGAAATTGTAACAAAATGTAATTCATTTATTTACTTCAGTGTTAGATAACTGACTACAAATACAAATTTAAATAATTGTTTGTGTCAACATACAAGGAAAGAAGTGACTGATGCAGGACACTGCCAAGGGTTCAACGAAACTTGTACTATATTGTAACCAATGATCAATGATGACCATGGCCATCGTCACTTCCTAAGGCCTTTTGTATTCCTACTGTAAGGAGCGCCAGACCCAATCCTGCAGGGAAGCCACGGAATACACATAACATGAATCTCTTCGCTTTAGTGCCAAAACCTGGGTGGTACCTCCATGCTTCATTTCTGAAACCAAATTTAATAGTAATTTTTTGTTTCCTAATATTTAAATGTGGTACAGTTGGTGGTGGACATTTACACTAGTTCTAATATCATTTTAGATTTCACCCCTGTCAACAACTAATTAGGTCTAAGAAGTATATTTTTAAAATTATCAGACTGAAAAAAACTGAGGAGGCCATAACTTTATACAGTAATTTTAGATTTGTTAACACACAAGTTAGTGGTTTTTTTCAAAGCAATCATTAAAGAGAATAACAGGTAAAAGCATAGCAAGATTTTCATAAATAATAATGTGTAAGTATAAGTATAATTTAATTAGGAAAAAACTAGATAGTAATTTATTACTAATAATTAACATGAAAAATATTTTTATCTGTACGGACTCACACCAGAAACAAAACTGACTTAAAAAACATAAAAAGTTAATTGGGCCAGTCATAACTTTGCATTTAATTATTTATCAATTGATTTATAGATAATTAGAGTGGCAATCAAGCCTATCCTCTTTTATGGCAATAAATATCGACCACAAATTTATTCGATTTGAAGGTTGTTTCAGAATTAGTATTGTGAAAAAACTGTTGTGGAACTAAAGAAGAGAATGTGAGGAGCCAACTGCGACTTTTGATAATTGGCAAAAAATAACAGTAAGTAGAACGCGGTGAATGTCTCGTTACCTGATCCATGGGTCTTTCAGCCCTTTTTTCTGCAGGGCCTTCTCGAGTTCTTCAAGTTGCCAGATACCCTGAATCTTAAACTGTTTGTAGCTTGGAACTGTGTACGGAGGTCCGTGGTCGTGGCCACCCATCTATACATACCAGGACAAGATTAGTTTTCTATACGAATTAATAACAAAAACCTAACCTATGACACTGGATGTTACATAACTTATGTACACATTTTTAATAATTTACCTTTGAAAGATATGTTTTAGATAAGTTGTATATTATAAGTAATATGTAACAATACAAAAGCTAAGCTTATTTTCAGGAATAAATACCTTTGAAACGATCTGACAGCAACTTGTTTTTTGTAAAACTTAGTGTTGCCTGTTCTTTTCTTTAAGCGCGTATTTAACTTCGGACCCATTTGCCAACTCCAACTCTAGCACATCATGAGCTCATTGGTCAAATCTAATAGCGTTTGCATGCCCCGGCTTTCTGCTACACTCTTCAGTCACTTTTCACGAATTTTCAGATTCCAGAAAAGCGAGGGAACAAAATTACACTGAAATAAATTCTTGAGAAAAATAACATAGTCTCAGTTGTGCTAAATCACTCGATTTGACTTGAATGACCGAGGACAGTTGATATTATCAAATAATGATAATAAATATTTGGGACATCAAACACAAATGAATATAATTATTTTATTTATTTTTCGTGGCACGGTATTTTTTTAACCTCAAGGAGCTAAGTTACTGCTAGTCTGTGGCAAACAGAAGAACAATAAAACCGGTAGTCTGTGGTGTTACAAACAGTTTCGAGTAGTCGTGCGGGGTTGTTGTGTTTCCTTCGTTCCTACTCGAATTTTCTTAAATAATTAAGCTCTTCGAGTGGCGAGTTGTTCTTTCTAGAACTTTGGTCAACCAATAAAACATTAAAATATATTTAATTATTGATTTGATACTGGTGCCATAAAATATCAATCGGCGAAATGAATGCAAAGCGTCTTTAATAAACAGAAATAGAATTTGATGTTCCATTCATTGAGGGGAAGTTAATAGTGTTATTTATTCGTGGAACTTAAGATGTGTGTTGTTAAAGTCGAGGAAAAAGAAATATAATGTTAAGACAAAGGATGCAAGCCGGCGCCGGGTGGAGCGCGGCTGCGACGATGGCAATGCTGCTGGCGACGCTCGGCTCGTCGCTCGCGACTGAGCCGCCACTCGTTCCCACAGGTATTATCATTTACAATTTATATTCATCACATTTCTCTAAATTCAAGGCACCTGCAATAAATAAATCGCCTTGAGAACTCTGTCATTCTTAAGATCCGAGTTATCTCAGGCGCTTAAGCTGTTACATGTATAAATAACATTTGTTGACAAATAGTACATACATTACATTACCATTACCTAATTTATATTGTCATTCTGTAAGCCATCATTTTTCTCTTTTATTGCTGATGTCTTGCTTGCCAGGTTGATGAGGATCAATAAATATTTTCATTCTCTGGAACCAAGCGGTAGGTCCAGGAGAAAATAAAATATTTGTTATTGTTTTCTACTATTACCTCTGGTAATGAAATAAATAGTCATTTAAAAATATTTTAAATATAATTTTGTTTGTAGGATTCCTCCACTGGGTGTAGGCTCCTCTTGCATGCCCCTCCCTGTTCTGAGCAGTTGCAGCTTCAGCTTCATATCAAAAATTGAGAAGAAACATTTTTGTATCATTTTGCATGATCTTCTTTTTCATGATTCAGTTGGCTGTCGGATCTTCAAGAACTTTAGTTGCATGTAATCAATCTCAATAAAAACATGAAAGTTATTGTGTCTATACTTCATTTTGATTTTACACCTAAAGGTTTTAAATTATGTTATAAATATATGTTTTTGGAGCATGCTCAACCTAAATCTGTAGTTAATAGAATAATGGCTTAAACTAACTATTTACAACCCTTCATTAATAAGTAGAGACTAGAGCAGGGATGGTATACAGAATAGGCATTTCATTATCCTTGCCTAAGTGTTCAGTTTAGTGAAGAAATAATTAGACATTCATGAATACTATTTGTGATGTAGTGCTTTTAATTCCTGTTTCCTCTAATACTGCGTAGCAAGCAGGATCAATGAAAGCAGTTGTGTTCATCGCAATGCAACATTGTGTTCATGATAAGAATATGATTGTTCATTTATAAATTGACCCACAATAAACATTAATGTTAGTAGTTTTTAGGCTTCAAGTGAATCTTAACTGTGTATAAAATTCAGTAGGGTAGGTGCGCCGGTTTCGCGCCATCAGTAGGCGACCATTTGACGGACTAAGTTTCTTTAAGTCAACATAATATCATTTCTAGTAGTAACATTAACAAAAAATACATCATCTCATACATCTTATGCGTTTTTTTAAACAGTTATGAAATAAGAATTTACATAGTTTAAAACAAACGATTTATCCCAGCGTCGAAAATAAATTGGTCTATATGCAAGACGATATAGTGGTATGGTTTATTGATGATTTGAAAACAAAAATAGTACCACGCGCGGCGTTCAATGGCAAGTTTAAGTACTTATTTCATATTTTCCAGGCAAGTTCTGTGTTTAATTAGAGCAAAAAAGACACAGGTATGTGCGTTCACCGCAAAAAAGATACCATTTGTCGTATCACCTCAGTTTGAGAGCACCTCCCTAACTGCCTCAGCCAGCATCGGAACCCTAGGCATCGACATATCGAGTGAAGTCCAGTTTCGGGTTCACTTAGAGGGTAAAGTCAAATTGGCCTCGAAGAAGCTCGGTGTACTGAACAGAGCGAGGCAGTATTTCACTACGGCCCACCGCCTTCTGCTCTATAAGGCGCACGTCCGGCCGCATATGGAATACTGTTCTCATCTCTCTGCAGGGGCACCTCAGTACCAGCTTCTCCCTCTGGACCGCATCCAGCGAAGAGCGACTCAAATCGTCGATAGCTTGGCGTTACGTAGAGATGTGGCTTCACTCTGCATTCTCTATCGCATAAATCATGGAGAGTGCTCCGAGGAATTGTTCGGACTAATACCAGCCGCAAATTTCCGCCATCGTTCCACACGGCAAAATTTTCATCCTCATTACCTGGATAGTTGGCGCTCCACTACTGTGCGCTTTTCGAGACACTTTTTGCCCCGCACAACCAACCTGTGGAACGAGTTATCGTCTGCGGTATTTCCGGAGCGATACGACCTTCAAACCTTCAAGAAAAGAGCGTACTCCTTCCTAAAAGGCTGGCAACGCGTTTGTGACTAATGAGTTGCAGACGTTCATGGGCGGCGATAGTCACTTTCCATCAGGTGACGCGTCTGCTTGTCTGCCCTCTCTAACATAAAAAAAATGTTAAGTTTTTGAAATTAGGTATATTTTGCTATGTTTATGCATAATCTATATGTATGAGTATATATAAAACAAAGTCGTGTTAGTTACACCATTTATAACTCAAGAACGGCTGGACCAGTTTTTATGATTGTTGTGTTTTTGGATGTCTTCGTCCGTTATCAATAAAAAATAAATCAGTTAAACCATCAGTCTAGCCGTTCATTTGTAATAAATGGTATAACAAACTTTACAAAAAGGCAATATTAAAAACATTTTAAAATCAATTATAACTATTTTATTGGCGGATTTATCATATTAAAATAGTGGTCGCAAACTGATGAAAATGGTCGTAAACCGACGTTTTGGCTATATTTTCATTTTTTCAGAATTTTATAATAATTTATTGAAGAAGGTATTTTATTTTATGTTTTATATCAAAATAAGGCTATACTTGGGACCTATTTTCACTAATATTATGTATATAGCGTATAGATAACATTTACTTTTACTCGTCTGAAGTGAACAAACCCGCTGACCGACGCAATGACCCCACCTACATAGTTTTTTTTAGTGAAAATGCTCCCATGTCGAATCTCATGTTCCCTAGTTATGCTAGCTAGCCATCTTGTCAAATATGTACCATTAGCTACCAAATGAAATTATTTTAACACTAAGTTTAAAATATAGTTTAAATATATTAGCCATTGGACGGATATTGTACATCACTGTGATTTGTGTGTAACACAAAACCGATACCGCAAGCCAGGATAACCACACGGTTTACACCTCAAACATATTCACCTATAGACAGTTAAACAGACAGTGTAATATTATAACGAATAGAGCAACTTATGAGACAAAATATATTATTTCATATCGATACATTAGATATCGCTTGCGGGATGTTACGATGTGCCGTTCTAAAACTATGTTGTCAAACATTTGATTAATTGAAACAAATTACAGGAGCTTCTTTGAAGGAACAATTTTCATGGTATTATTTGTTAAAAGTGACGACGGACGGACAGGTACTAATTGTGCAGTCAGATGTTCCTCAGTTGTCTAATATGCATATTTTGGTTTTGCCAATGACTTGTAAAGGTTATAGTAAAGCCTGCTAACCACGTAATCTTAACGTTAACATTAAGCATCTGTTTACATCAGGCGACGAGTCTAATCGATTATAAGACACTAATCCACATAAATGTGGTCGAAACGTTGTTAAGAACTCCAATGCTACAGTCACGTCAGTTGGGGAAATCTTTTCGGGGTGTGAACTTGTAATTCTACAATTTGTATATCTCCATCATTATAACACAGTTTAATTACGTCAATGATCAGAGATCTGCTCCCGGGTACAACCCGTGCCACGATGTAACGTAAGGTGTTTCAATTTTCAAACTTCAAATCCGACTGCTAGTAATACGGATTAGTCTCAAGTATACTTATTATGAGTACGTTTAAATGTAAATAATACACAACTAAAAAGGTGGTCACACTTCGCTGCTGCTAGCTACTTATAAATACAATATTTTGTTTAGATTTGTTTCTACTTAATATATTTAAAAGGAATTGCTAGGTAACAGTCGGTGAGAGAGCACCGCTCGGCCTCTCGATACAATAAAAAAGTTGCGAACCGGTCGCGGTGGTCGTGCCCGGATGGCGGCGGCGGCGTCCACTTGCACTAGCCGCCATACTTGATCGTAATTAGGTACCTGCTCATATCACGCAAACAAACTTGTATCGTATAACCTATTACACTGTGCAGGGCGCGATCTTTAAGCGTGGCCGGCAGTTATTCCGTAAATAGCAAGGTATAAGCTTTTATAAAGCGATAACTGACGACAACACTAAACGGCCCACTTTTAACTGGAGATGTAATTGAAAGTTACAAGTTTAAAATAGCCCAGCAGTGTTTATAGTAATTATATTCTTGGGTAATCAACAGCATAAAATAGTCCAATGTTGGACATAGGCCTCTCCTTAGAAAGGACATTCTAGTGAATTGCATCTTTTGACATGGGTTTGAAAACTATGGTAAGAGATTTCTTGATGATCGTTAAAATGTAAAGGCAGATAGATACTTACACACAGGTCCTAATTGAAAATGTGTGTGATAACGACTAGCACAACTTTCCTAAATCCAATAAATTGTGCGACGAGCTGAGTTTATTTTACATTTTAAAGATTATGTAACATCTTGTTTACCAAACATTAACAAACTTATTAGTACGTACTTTTGTTTTT